TCCCCTACCCAGGACGATTTGTTGCATGCCAAAGCTCATGTGCAGGGGTGCGTGATTGAGCACAAATCAGCAGCACGAACTTTTGGTGCTACAAACACACACCCCTGCATATGGGGACGCACCCTAAGAGACTAAATGGTTCAGCAAAGGCATGACCTTTCATAGGCAACATCCTACTTTAGCAGCTGCTATCACAGTTGGCATAATGAGCTCTCATTTGTGAATCATGTTGTGGGATCATCTCTCTGTAATCTTCTATTACTCTTCCCAAGCTGGTTAAGTACATAATTGAATCAGAGGTTCGACAATCCAGTGTCCTTCAGTGGCTTTTCTAGCACTAGGCTTTGTAAGGATGATGCTCCAGTTTTCTGTATACATTCCTTGATTTATTTCATGTGTCTGCATTGCTTCAGCTATGAATCACATGGCCAAATCTTCTTGGTTGGAAAACAGAATTCCCAGGATTTTCTCTGCCAAATGATGGGATTCCATTACTGATGCAGTCTAAAAGGAACCAGGAGGCAGCAGGGGATATTTTTAAAAAACATAAAACTTTCTTGACAATTCCCAAATGTCACTACCTCTCATTTGAAATGTTTTGGAAACCACGAGTGAGATCCTTTTTGCTTAGCTTGGGGAAAATCGACACTCAGTCATGTTGGACAGGATCCTCTCAGAGCATCTAGAAAAAAAGTTCTTCCATTACTTTTGACAAAGGCTTAAAAGGACTGTTTTAGAGGGAACAAAGGGGGATTGTAATTTTAACACTAAAAGCTTGAGCTATTGTCAAAGCATGCTCCCTGCCTACTGCTGCCTAGTTCTTGCTGATGGTCACAGAAAATGTTCTGGCTGACTGGGTGAGAGGTTTAGCCTACCACTGAGATTAGTTGACTTCTTAGGCTGTGATTTGACAGTTGCTTAGGGGGCCTGCAATAACCTATAATTAGGTTTCTCTGACTATTGTTCTGATAATTCATAATTCTGAATCACCTGAGTCACTCTTAGATATACAAAACATGTTCTTGCCAACCCTCATCTATATGACATCAATGAAAAATACTTGCATCATCAGACCCAAATTTTGTATTTGATGTTTCTAAACAGGACAACATTTTAGAATGGGTTTCTCTTTCCAGGTTGTAATTCGGCAGCGTGCCCTACTTAATTATCTACACTTGCATATATTAATGAGCATGTTTTTTGATACAATACTTCCCATTACACGTGCAATTAATGTGAAACAATAAACTCCAGAGCAGTTGGAGCCAGAGTAAACTGTTCTTGGGCTCAGCATTTACATGTGTAGTCTAGCCCAGGACAGCAGCAATTTGAGACGAGGCGGAGCAGGCCTACAGCTCTCTGGGTAGACCGGGCGCAATCTATGCCTGCGGTCAGTGTCTACACATGCATTTTGGCACAGTAAATTACCCCACTCTAGAGAGTTATCCTACTAACAGAGAAGTTAATTATTTTACTGGAGCTTATGTAGATGAGTTTTACTGTAGGTCCACATTTTACTGTGGAGCTACTTAGTAAAGCATAAGTGTAGATGCACCCAGTGCATTATTTCAGTCCACCTGTATTTTGTGTACTTCTCTTCTTTACTTACTGCATTGTCTACTCTTCAAATCAAATAATTGTACCTGTTAATATTATGTTTTGGTAGAATCCTGGAGTACAGCCCTAATCAGCCAGATACGTATTGCACAAATGATGATTATTTGTCCTATCTCAGATCTCTTAAAAGAAAAGGACAACAGGTGGAAAAAACAAACAGCTGGGGAAACAGAAGGCAACCTTGAAGAGATTGTAGTCCATGGGGTAAGCAGTTAATGATCACAAGTCACACCATCTGATAACCCATTGTTGAGTGCTCTACAGTGGTCATAGTCAAAGTAATTGTTAAGGAGGGGCACAGAGGGAGTTCTGTGTATTTTTATGGGAAGATCCATCCAGGCATCAAGGGCAGTACGGGAGAAAGAAAGAAGGTGCTTGTTTGAAAATTTGACAAGTAGCTGAAGAAGGCTGCAAGAGCAGAACTCAATAGCAGATGACTACAGTAAGGATAAGTTAGGGGTCTAACAGACAAAAACTTACTCTCTAGTGCAGGGGTGGGCAAAATGTGGCTCGTAGGCCGGATGCGGCCCGCCAGGACATTCCATCCAGCCAGTGGGACCCCTAAAAAATTTAGAAAATGAATATTAATCTGCCCCTGGCTGCCTGTCATGAGGCCCTCAATGGCTTGCCAAAACTCAGTAAGCGGCCCTCTGCCCAAAATAATTGCCCGCCCCTGCTCTAGTGTGTCTAGAAGGTGTGGAGAAATTCAAGAGGTGCAAAGCAGGATCATGACATCACTGATATGAGAAGCCAGGAAAATTGTCTTTATACCATTGTTTTGATGTTACTAGAGAGAGATGACACACTTCAAGTCTAAAAAATAGCAGCTGTCAACATGGAAGGAAAAAATGGTGAGAAAAAAGGAAAGAAACAGTGAGGAGAAGGCTTTGAGAGTTGGAGATTAAGAGCTCAGTTTTAGTCATACTGACAGCTGGACCATTAGAAGATGTCAAACAGACAAGCCAAGGTTTTAGTTTTAGCAGAAGAAGATAGGGCCAGAGCATAGAGATGCTAGAGGAATTCATGTTTATGAATGGCTTTGTTCAGAGAGAGGGTGTAGAGGGAGAAGAAGTGTCCAAGGACATATGCAGTTTCAAAAGTAATAAAAAGCTGGAAGTTTGACACTAATCTCCATGGAACTCTTGCTAGAAATATCTTTCCAGTTTGAACAAATTCAGTTCTTGGCCACTCGTTTCCTGCCTTTTCGCCAATTTTCAGTCCAGGGAGCCAATTTTCCTCTTTCTCTGCAACTCTACAATTTAGGTAATTTATATTTCTGCCAGCAGAAAATCCCACAAGCACTAAAATGTTCTGACTAAATTAGAATTAGGACCAAATGTTGCTCCTCTCATCCCAAACATGCATATCTTTCCCTTATTCCCTTCCTTATGAGAACTTTGGGACCCAAAGCAGTGCAGAACTACAATGGAGATAGGTTGTGAACAGTTGTTTGGAGGTACTACAGTCTCTTGTTTCCAGAGCATTGTTCCACAGAGACTTAGTCTGCAAGTTTACAAAGGGGAAAAATATTTTTTTTACTTTTAATAGTATTATTTGTATTGCAATAGTGCATAGAAACCCCAGTAGAGCAGACCCCCATCATACACAAACTCATTTTACTACTGTACTAGGTAGTTCCTATTTGAATCACTTATGATCTAAATGACCACAACAGACAATGGCTGGGATGGGAAACAGATATAATGAGGTAAAATGGCTTCCCTATGAGTCCTCGCTGGCATAAGTAGAAATAGGGTAGAGTCCTCCTACAAATCCTGGTCTAGACCCGCGGTTCCCACTCTGTGGTATGGGTATCACCAGTGGTATGCAGACAACCTGTCAGTGGTATGCATTAACAGCTTTATTATAATTACTTTATATGACAAAAATGTGCTGGTGGTACTTAAGGTTGTATTGTTTTAAGTTGGTGGTGCTCAATCTGTCAGCGTTTGGGAACTACTGGTCTAGCCCATTATCCTATTAAGAGTAGGGGTGTAAGTGGTTCAACATCCATCATAAACTGTAGTAATTGGCACCAGAGTATGAAGTATGGGAGCATATGATCCTTTCAGTTCAGTCTGGGTGTAGGTCATATAAGCAAATCTGGTTAATAATTCATGTCTTGGTTTTGAATCTCACTTAGCCTTTATGTTCTGATTTTACCCCATTTTACCCTAAAAGTATTATTATGCTGTTTTTCCAATTCATGTTGAAAGGATTTGGAAGAGGAATTGGATCAAGATGGTGACTTGATAGTAGGACTGTGCATATTTGCTTAGTAAATTATTAAAAGTTAGTAAGTGAGGGACCAGAAACATTACCAAGTGATTTATTCTAAGCCAGCATAGCAAAAATTCCAAATTTCACCATCAAATATTGTAAATTTTGTTGCATACAAAGTAAGCCCAAATGAGATATACCTTATTCTGAGAAGGCAGAATGAAGAAAATAAGATTTTTCCATAGTCATGACTGAATTCTGGCCACATAGAGCAGGGGGCAGCCTCTCCTTTTCAGAGTCACTTGCCCTCCCCTGCCTGATCAGCCAAATGCTAACGATTTAACCCTGCCACAGTCGCAGGTAAAAGCTGCTGCCAATTTGTCAGTGACTTTGATAGGGTTAAATATCTAACTTTTGAAAGAAGTCACCTCATTGCTTCAAACATACAAAATGGACTGTAGTCATCTGCTATTGGGATGAGTTAATATTTGGGGGACTATAAGTTTGCAGGGTATACAAGTACTATAAATACAATTTAGATCTATTTCTAGCAGCTATTTCAATTTTTGAGAAAAAAGAATGACTATCAATATTTAGTGCTGGTAAATCATAACCCAAATATTTTTAATAGAAGTGCACCAATACATCGGTCCATATCATATCGGCACTGATAAAAGGAAAATTGACATTATCGACAACTGTGGTATTTTTAGCTTATGTGGCCAATAATGTTGCTGATAAATGCTACTTGCACACACACAGCTGAAGCATGCACACTGCCAGGAGTGCAGCCCGGCAGCTTGGGGCAGCGTCTGGCTGGTAAATCAGTGGGAGTGAAGGGCCGTGGGGGTGGGAAGGGGCATGTGGGGGTAGATTGAAGCTCATGTGATGAGGGAGGGAGTGGGGCTGGGGCAGGGGCACGCACAGATCCAGGGGGCACGTGCTCCCCATGCCTCCCCCTGGAGTGAGCACAGCAGTGAAAGATGCACCCCCTCCCCATTGCACACCCTGGATGAGCTGCCAGCTCTGTCCTGCACCCTGCCCCGCCCCAGCTGGGCGTTGCCTACCCCTGCCCCAATCCCATCCCCACTCCCTCCCTTACCGCAGGGGCCTCCATCTGCCACCCCTTCCCTCCCCCGTGCACCTTCCCCCAACAGACTTACCAACCGGATGCTTCTCTCCAAGCTGCTGGGCTGCATATCGGCAATCAGATTGGTATCGGTCGAGATAGCTGGTCAACAGCCGGCCATCAGAATTAGCCCAAAAAATCTTTGTCGGTGCACCCCTAGTTTTTAATAATCTCTGGTGGAGATGGAGACTAGAGTCATAAACATGACATCACCAAAACTTGCTTTCAAATCTGAATCAACATTCATGACAATTTTTTAAAATAAGTATGGCACCACCTATAATTTTTATAATTACTACCACCTACCTTCAAAAAGATAGAGTAACTCCAGATATGCTAAACCACGATAGGGGATTGTACATTGGCTTCTGAAGTGGTCTGGTTTCTCTGAAGGCTAGATTGTGACAACATTAGTATAATCCAGATTGTAAGTACTCCCACTGGCTTCAAAAGCACCAACACTGGCATGCTTTAATTACATTTGCGAATGGTTTACTAGACTCAACTGGACCTTTCACACAATATGAGGATATAACATTTGAGCCTGAAGAAATAGAAGATTTAATCATTTAATTCTGTTAGACTATGTAGTGGTTGCATCTACACATGTGCTTTACTGTGGAGTAGACTAATTAACTCCACAGTAAAGCATCACCATATACACATGGGCTAGTATTAGGGCATACTAAACTAATAACGCCTCCATAAGATAGTACTATTGGGGACAGTACTATCTTATGTCAGAGTAATTAACTGCAATCAAACTCATGTATGGATAGTGACTGAGGTGTATATTGGGCCCGGTCAGCCCAGCCAGCCAGGAGCCAGACTCCTGCTAGCCCCTCCACTGCCTGATGCCAACACCTGGAGCTTGGCCCCCAGTGGCTGACCCCAGTGCCTCCTGCCAGGCCAGGCCTGCTCTGCCCCAGCTCAGATTGCTACTGACCTGGGTGCATGTGTAGATGCTGAGCCCAGAAGCAGTTTATTCCAGCTCAAGGCGCTCTGGAGCTTAATTTCACCTTAATTGCACATATAGATGCACCCAGTATTATTAAGTAATAAGAAAAATGTATGTTATCAGATTCCCTAGTATGAGCATCAGTGTTTTAGGCTGAACTCTTATTTCAGCTTTTTTAAAATGCAGTATTGCAATGCTCACTGTATATAGCACAGCATGTAACCACATGAATAAGATAACACTAAATATAGCTTTCCTAAATCAATGTTGTTTATCTTCCATTACACTCTGACTACTGAATATGCCCTCTTTTTCTTTGCCCTAAAGTATTATGCCCATGCTTATTATAGACTACAGATGTTAAATTAATGGTCTGTAGTTTGGTAAAGTGGTGTTCCACTTCTCATCCACTGGTAGAATATTGGTACCATATTTACAGACTTCTAAACCTCCTGAAACCTCACATGAACTTGGAGAGTTTGATGACTTTTACTAACCCATGAAATCTAACCCCACATTTTCTTTCAAATACCAAGATAAATATTCTTGTAACTTTGTTGCTTCCCAGTGGGAACATCTACATATGCATTTGATATGAGATCAGTTTACTTGCAAGTAAACTACTTGCAAGTATATGCTCCCTGGCAGGCATCTATATATGCAGGGACATGGAAGCAGATTTGCTGCTCATAGCAGCAAACTGCTTCTGCTTCCTGCAGTCCTGCAATGGACCCCTGCCACCACCAAAAGGAGCTCGAGGCTCCAGCTGCAGCTGCCAACAGCCAACAACCCTTTTGAAAAGGCAGCCCCACTCCCTGATCCCTGGCCAGCTACTTCTGGGCTATGGCAAGTATGCACAACACAGGGGCAGCATGCAGCTGTTGCCTCATCTCCACCTTTGATTCCTCATGCCATGGCTGCTCTAGCCCCTGCCCCAGCAGTGATGCCCAGCACTCTAGGCTCTTGTTGGTCACCAGACTGACCTTGCTGACCACCACACCAACCATTGGCTGGCCCATGGCTGTCTGGGCCCTACCAGCTCTCCCATGCATAGCAACCACCTGCCTGGTTGCACTGCACCATCCCAGGGCCACCGCCACTATGAAACTACCATGTAGACCTCATCCTTCTGACTGGACCCCAACAGGGGATACCACCGCTGAGGCTGCCTTCACTTTCCTGGGCCTCTAGCCCCACTAGGCCAGGACTAGTGGTTGCATATCATCCAGCAGACCCAGGATGATGAGCATTAGCTGGAAGCATTCAGGATAACCTGAGCCATCTTCCTGGACCTCCTGGAGCAGCTCCATTCACACCAGGAGCAGCCATGTAGTCACCTCTCCCCACAGACACCTGGCTGGCCCTTGCCCTGTTGAAGTTGGCCATGTCTACCAGCCTCCACTATATGGGCCATATCCTTGGCATGGGCAATGCCACTTCTGGGAAGGTTGTCCTAGAAGTGTTCAGCACTCTCCAGGACCTGCTGGGGCACATGGTGCTCTGGGTGCATGACACCCTGGTGGTGGTGGCAGGGTTCCATGCCCCAGTGAATCAGGGCCCTGGACAGAAACTATATACCCATCACCTGCCCACCCCACAGTGACCACCCCTACAACATTCTGTTGTGCTCCAGGTCATTGTTGACCACTGCAGCACCGTCACAAATTTGAGTGCCACATGGGTGGGCAGTGGCCACAATGCTGTGTTTTGGAATTCCACCCTGTCAACCCTGGTGCAGAGCAACTGCTTCATGCCAGGGGTGCTGGATCTGCAGCTGGGTGCCATGGTGGTCTCACCACTCCTTATTAGGGACCCCACCTACCCTGGTTCATGTAGCCCTACATTGGACAGCTGGACCCCCACCATGCCCACTTTAATCAGTGCCTGGGCTGAATCCACACACTCTGGTGGAGCATGCCTTTGCCTGCCTAAAGGGATGCTGGTGTACCATCACCACCCAGCTTGAGTTTCCAAAGACAACATCTCTCGGGTCATTGTCATAACCTATGTGCTGCATAACATATGCGAGGTCCGGGGGAAGCTGTTTTGTGAGGCCTGGGCAGAGGAAATATGGTGGGTGGAAGAAACCTGGCAACAGAAGCACCAGCTGTGGTGGCTGCAAGAGCAGCAGGACCCCGCCCCCCCCCTCTCCCAGAGGTCCAGGGTGAGCTGTACACCTGCCAGTGGGGGCCAGGGCACTGGGTGTGAGAAGGTGAGAAGTACTGGCTGACCATCTCCTCCTGCAGTACCTGCTGTAGCCCACCTGGACAGCTGCCCATGGACCCTCCCCCCACCTCCACCCCCAGGACCATGCTCACTGCCAGAGCAACAGTTTTTATTCCTTTCACATAAAACAGTTCCCACCTGTCCTCTCCCTCCCCAACAAACTACCCCCTCACCCCTCCCTTCCTAACAACAGAACCCTTCCACCACCCATACTACCCACCAACAATAAAACACCATCTTCCCCATGCAAACTATTTACAAGTGAAGTGCTGTGCTTGTGTGCATGCCCTCCTGGTGTGGGCAGCTTTGAGGTGGGGGCACCTAGGTGGCAAAGCCCAGGGATAGGTGGCCAGTATCCCAGTCTCTGGCCATTCCTCCATGGGTGTGCACACTGTGGTGAGCCCAGCAGGTGGGGGGCTTACCCAGGGGCAATAGTAGCCGGTGGTCCTCCAGCATGGTGTATCCCCCTCCAGCAGCTAGTGTCCAGGGCCAGAAGGATCATTGTGCAAGCAGCTCCAGCTCCATGCCTGCATGGAGCCAGGTGAGCAGCAGGCCCGGGCCCGGGCTGGGGGGCTGGGTGGAGGTGGGCAAATGGGGCAGAGGCCGAAGCTGGGGCTCCTGGCCCAAGGAAGCAATGCTGGACCTCTGCTCGGGCTCAAAGGAGGGTCTGCAGGTGGGCAGTGGGTGGCTGCTAGGGGGCAGGGGGGCTTAGGGTTGGGGGCTGGGCAGTATGTAACACAAGGTGACCAACAAGGCCAGGAGAGTATCTAGTGACCGGTGGTCATCCTCCATAGCCTCCACTGCTCTGCCCATGACTGTGTTCTGCTCCCACAGGGCCTCCATCTGCTCATGCTCCAGGGCTAGGAACTGCCCCCTGAACTTTCGGGAATTTTTGGGCCAGCTTGCAGAGGCACTTAAGGCAAGGAATGTAGTGTCATGGGTGATCTAAATTACCCTGACATCTGCTGGGAGGAGCAGTCAGCCAGGTTGGACCGATCCAGGAGGTTCCTGGCTGAGATACAGGACCTCCACTTAACCCAGGAGGTGCACAGTCCCACCAGAGGAAATGCCCTGTTGGACCTGGTCCTGGCCACAGGCGATGATCTGGTAAGGGGCCTCCAGGTCCTTGACCACCTGGGTGATAGCGATCATCACTTGCTGGAATTCATCATCCAGCGCAAGGTGACAAGGGCCTGCAGTAAGGCGGTAGCCCTAGACTTCAAGAGGGCCAACTTCAAAGAGTTGAGGAGCTTGGTGGAAGAGGTGCTGGGGTTCTTGAGGGCAGGGGAACTCAGTGCCCAAGATGAGTGGTC